TCACCATCCATCCTGATGCTGCCAATTGGCCCAGTGGTGAGAATCTTTGTCTTCTTGACATTGAGCCTCAATCAATATTGGAGGCTGCAGTCCTTGACCCTTTGCAGCAGGTGCTTCAGGTCCTCCTCAGTTTCAGCAAGCAGGGCTGTGTCATCTGCATAACACAGATTGTTGATAGATCGTCCACCAATCTTGACCCCACATTTCTCCTCATAGAGCCCAGCCTCCCAGATTATCTCTTCTGCATACAGGTTGAAAAGGTTTTCAAAATTTCAATAATGCTACATCTTGATGTGAATTGCTTAAACATTTATCTTCTTTGGAGTTTTCTCAGTTTCTATCTAAGTTAATAATTTGAACATGTAGTGTACATAGCAAGAATATTGGAAAACTAGATGTAGTGAAAACTGAAATGGAACGCATGAACATTGACATACGAGGCATTAGTAGTGAGATGAGATGAAGCCACTTTGGCCACTTTGAATCAGATAATCATATGGTACACAATGCTGGGAAGGAAAAACAGAAGTATGTTGTTTCATTCATAGTAAAAAGGTCAATTTCAAGTTCTATCCTGAAATACAATGTTATGAGTGATAGATGTTACACAAGGAAAATCCACTAATACTACTCTCATTCAGATATACACTCCTAAAGCCAAAGAGGAAGATCTTAAAAATTTTTACCAAATCTTGCAATCTCAAATTGAGCAAACACACAATCAAGATGTGACTGCATCAAGATATTGAATTACTAATGATAATTCGTAACTGGAATGCAAAAGTTATAAACAGTGAAGAAGGAATAGTAGCTGGGATATATAGGCTTGATGATTGAAATGAGGCTGAAATTAGGATAGTTGAACTTTGTATTGTCAATGATTTCTTCACTCCAAATACCTATTTTAAAAGACACACATGGCGACTTTACACATGGTCCTCACCTGATGGACTTCATAGGAATCAGACTGTCTACATCTGTGGAAAGAATCAGAAACTAATATCAGCAGTCAAAACTAGGCCAGGGGTAGACTGTGGATCACACCATCAATTATTCATCTGCAAGTTCAAATTAAGACTGAAGAAACTGAAAATAAGTCCATGAGAACCAAAATAGGATTTTGAATATATCCCATCTGTATTTCAAAATCATTTTGAGATTAGGTTTGGAGCTTTGAACCAGATGAGTTGTGGGATGATATCAAGGATGCTATCAATGAAGAAAGCAAAAAGTCATTACAAAGAGAGAGAAGAAAGAAAAAAATTAAAACGAATGCCAGGAAGAGAATGGAAATTTAGATGAGAAGCCAAAACAAAGGGAAAACATGCTAAAGTAAAATAGCAGAACAAAAGATTTCA